GAGCCGAAAGGGGCCGAAGGAGGAACAGGACGGAGGGAGGACATAGAATCAGGAGAAGAGGAAGAACAGACTGAAAGAAAGCCAGAGGAAGAGGAAGAAGATACAGAAGGAGAAGAGTTAGAGAGATTTTAGGTTAAATAAATAAAGAAACAAAAAATAAAATAAAATGTCATTAAAATTATGGAGTTGGAATGTTAATGGGTTGAATGATAAGAAGAAACGGAATGGAATTGAGCGTATTTTAAAAAAGACAAATTCGGATGTCATGTGCTTACAAGAAACGCATGTGGCTAAGAAACACAGAAAAATCCTGGTCAATAGGAGGTTAGGGAATGAATTCATTTCTTCAGATAATGGGAAAAAAGAGGGGTAGTACTATATATTAAAAACAAAATTGAAGCGCACCAATTATTTAAGGATGAGGAAGGAAGAATAATTGCGGTTCGCATTAAATGGCAAGGTGAAACAGTGATAATAGTAGGGATTTATGCCCCTAACGGGAATAAAACAGAATTCTTTAGCTCACTGGAAGAAAAGTTATTCGAATATATGGACCAAAAAATCATAATAATGGGAGATCTGAATGATGTGGTCTCAACTGATTTGGACAGACTAAGAAACTCAAAGAATAAACAAGGAAAACTACCCAAGACATTCTTCACACTAGCTAAGAACTGTAACCTCATCGATATATGGAGATTGAAACATCCCCTTGAGAAACAATTTACATATCACTCTGAACCGAACCAATCATTTTCAAGAATAGATCAAATATGGATATCGAACGAACTGACACCAAGAATAAAAAAATTGAAATCCAGCCCAAAGTAATATCTGATCATAACCCAATTGAAATGGAGGTGAAAGGTCTGGAAGAACGAACATTCAGATGGAGACTAAATGATAACTTATTGGATGATCAAAGATTTGTTGAAAGAATCCGAAAAAAACTAGGAGAATACTTCTTAGATAATATAGATAAAGGGGTGAAAACAAGTTCGGTTTGGGATGCAAGTAAGGCAGTAATGAGGGGCCTTTTTATCCAACAAAATGCCCTGAAAAAAAAGAATAGGGAAAAGAGGTCAAAAGAGATTTTGAGACAGATAATGGACAATGAACAGAAGTTGATTAAAAAACCAAATAATGAAAGAATAATGCAGGAAATAAAATCCCTTCAATCACAATTTGCAATGATAATAAACAAGGAGGTCGAGTGGAATATTAAAAGGCTAAGACAAAAAAATTTCGAATTTGCCAATAAGTCAGGCAAATGGCTTGCGTGGCAAGTCAGAAGAAGGAAAGAGCAAAACACAATTAACAAAATACTAATAAATGGAGAAGAAACAACCGACTCGAAGGAAATCAGGAAAGGATTCACGGATTTTTACGAGCAACTATATAGATACAAGGAAAGGAACAGTAAGAAAAAAATAGAAAGATACTTAAAAGAAAAGACCGTTAAAAAGATGTCTCCTGAGCAAAAAAAACAGTTAAATGCCCCAATTGACAGACTAGAGATAGAAGAAGCGATAAAAGAACTGAAAAGAGGAAAGGCCCCGGGCCCTGATGGATTTACATCAAGTTACTATAAAGAATTCAAAGATACGCTGATGACACCTCTAATCGAAGTAATGAATAACATCTTAAAAGAAAGAGATATGCCCGGATCGTGGAAAGAGGCCTTTATTACAATCATTCCAAAACAAGATGCAGATCTAACACAAGTTAAGAATTATAGACCCATCTCTTTATTGAACACGGACTATAAGATCTTTGCTGGCATTCTGGCTAAAAGATTAAAAAAGATACTAAGAAGGATAATACATGAAGACCAGACAGGCTTCCTCCCGGGCAGGCTAATAAGAAGTAATACAAGACATATAATCAATCTCATTGAATATCTATCTGAGAGTTCTGATAAATCAGCTTGCCTAATCTTCATAGACGCGGAGAAAGCTTTCGATAATGTAATTTGGGACTTCATGTTAAAAAATCTGGAAGCGATGGAGGTGGGACAAGAATTTCTAAATGGCATAAGGTCTATATACACTGAGCAGAAGGCGAGACTGATAGTCAATAACGTCATAACTGAGGATATAAAAATAGGTAAGGGAACGAGGCAGGGCTGTCCGCTCTCGCCACTGCTCTTTATAGTGGTTTTAGAAGTGTTACTGAATGCAATAAGACAAAACAAACAAATAAAAGGGGTGACACTAGGTTCAAATAAGTACAAAGTCAAAGCTTACGCGGACGACGTGGTTTTAACGGTAGAAGAACCTATAGAAAGTATAAAGGCGATCCTGGACGAGATGGAGGAATTTGGGAAACTGGCCGGTTTCAAAATGAATAAGAGTAAGACAAAAATGATTGTTAAAAATATGGATCAGGATGCGGTGGTTACACTGCAACAACAAACTGAAATCGAGGTGGTTAAAAAGATAAAGTATTTGGGAATCTGGATTACTAACAAAAATATCGACTTATACCAAAACAACTATGTCCCGGCTTGGAATAAAATTAAAAAAGATCTGGAGGCCTGGGCCAGACTAAAATTATCGTTCTGGGGAAGGATCTCCATGGTAAAAATGATGCTGCTACCCAAGTTCCTATATCTGTTTCAAACACTCCCCATATTAAAAGGAACAAAAAACTTTAAAGAATGGCAAAAAGCAATTTCAAGATACGTCTGGGAAGGGAAGAAGCCCAGAATTAAATTTAAGCTACTAACAGATGCAACAGAAAGGGGGGGCTTCGCCCTACCAGACATGAGACTATATTACGAAGCAACATGTCTGTGCTGGATAAAAGAATGGGTTAAGTTGGAAAACAGAGAGCTATTAGCCCTTGAAGGATATAATAATAATTATGGGTGGCATGCGTATTTATGGAAAGATAAAAAAGGGTGCACAAGGGCTTCTGCAGTCATATATTTAGGGGCCCACTAACAGAGGTTTGGGATAGGTATAAAGACATATTAGAGCCGAGAACACCACACTGGTTATCTCCGCAGGAGTTAATAAGTGTAAAGAAAGTCAACATGGAAGAAAGATGGGGGAAGTATGGAGAAATGGTCATCAATGAAGGAGGGAAGTGGAAAGTTAAACCATACGACCAGGTTAAAATGTTTACACAGGGCTGGCTGCATTACTTTCAGATTAATGAGATGTTTAAAACAGAGGTAAAGGAAAGGGGCTACGAGGGGAAAGAATCAATATTCCAAAAGGAGATAATAAATAGTGAATATAAAAACCTCTCCAAAATGTACAAAATATTATTAGAATGGCACACAAAGGATGAGGAGGTGAAGTCAGTGATGGTACAATGGGCTAGGGATATCGGGTATAACATCCAGATGGAGGATTGGGAAAAGCTTTGGAGAGTTAATATAAAGTTTACGGCCTGTACGCTACTCAAGGAAAACGTGATGAAGATGCAGTACAGGTGGTATATGACCCCCGTAAAACTGGCCAAGATGTATAAGATAGATAACAAATGCTGGAAGTGTAGACAAAAGGAAGGGACATTTTACCACCTATGGTGGGAGTGCAAAAAAATTAAAAGTTTCTGGGAGGAAATCTACAACGAATTGAAAAAGGTGTTGGGTTATACCTTCGTTAAAAAACCGGAAGCTTTCTTACTATGTATATTGGGAAAAGAAATTAAGAGAAAGGATCACAAACTCTTCCAGTACGCGGTTACGGCAGCCAGAATTGTGGTAGCTCAGAGGTGGAAGCAGGAGGAAATCCCAACGGTGGTAGATTGGAGAGCAAAACTGATAGAATACGCAGAGTTGGATAAATTAACAGGGAAAATAAGATATTTAAAAGATCAAAAGTTTATAGAGGACTGGGGGAAATTTGTGGGTTACCTGGAGAATAAATGTTCAGTTAATACAACGCTGGTGGGATTTAAAGAGGCTCTGTAAAGAACTAACAGGTATTGTTTAAACGAAGGAACTTATAAAAATAGCACGAATGGCAATATGAAGAGATGGAATGCGACTCTAAGATCTGACTATGAATGAATGTCAACGACGTTGAAGGAAGTCCAAAATGTATGAGAAATGTTGAAACTTGGATTTGTTGTATATATAATGGAATTCAATAAAATTTTAAAATGCAAAAAATAAAAAAATAAACAATCTATGACCTTTTAAATATGTTTGTAGGATGGGGTTATTGGTTTGTTATTGCTGTTTTGTTATGTATTTTGTGTTCTCATTTTGTGTTTTTATGTTGCAAACCACCCTGTGATCTTCAGATGAAGGGCAGTATACAAATTTAATAAATAATAATAAGGTAAGTCACATTTTTTGTAACTAATTACATAATTACAGTGTTATGAAGTTATGCCACACCATAGAAATACAAAGAAAATGCAAGGCAAATGGGAGAAAACTCATTATGTTTCATTTGTGGGCTGAAAACGATAGCAAATACCACATATATTCTGTGGATTCATTTATGTTGCAGAAGTGGAACAAATAAGCAAATATCAGCAAATTCTGCTTCCGTCAAAATTCTCTGACATCATGACTTACAACACGCCCCCTTTGGATCCTACTCTTTGATCAGAAAGAAAGGAATGAAGTGTCTCAATACTACCACAAGTGAATTGATCACAATTAGCAGTATGAGCCACCGGGAGAATGTGTGCACAAACCTTGTGAAACAAAGTTGTTTCACTCATTAACTTTATTAAAACTCAGGGGCTGAACAGTGCCTGTTTAAAGAGCTAGTCAACAACCTTGAAGATGAGTATGGTGACTCATTATATTGCTATGAAGTGTGCCCACTACCAGAGCAACTCTCCTGCTGCACAGCCTACTATGGAACTAGAGTGGCCAGATACAAAGGAGGGCAGGGCTCCTGCACCCTTAATAATTGTGGAGAAGATGGAATTTCAGCACGTAAGGCTCATGAAGCTTCTTCAGAAAGGTACACCTGCTGAAATTCCTTGTTCAAAACTATCCATCAGTTCAGGAGCCCTATCCTCTTTTGCAGTGGGTTTTTTCAAGCTGTTTACCTGAGAGTAAGCATTATGGAACACAATGAGACTTACTCCTAAGCAAACAAGCATAGGCTTGGGTTTTAAAAAGCAATGTCAGCATCTTCTTATCTAAAATAGGTTTGATGTCAGTATCTAAGCAAAAATTTCAGGATTTATGTTCTATGCAGTTTTGTGCCTCTGTTGAAACCTATCAGCCACCTGGATAGGTCCCTGGATGACAATTTTCATCCAAGGACCTCTCCAGTGCATCCCAGTAGATAAGATTCTCATGAGGTCTGACAAAGTGGCTTGTCACAATTTTCCTAAAACGACAAGCAGAAAATACAAGCCCGTCTGGGAAGAATGTTTGTTCTGAATGAAGTTCTTCCAGTTTGATGTCGAGTTTAGCGAGGCACATGCCTACATAAACATCCTCTAGTTTAAAATAAGGAACTTCTTTGGCAATTTTATACACACTACTAGCAACATCTGCAGACAAAACATAACCAGTCCCTGAACAAAATGGAGGGTACAAGTTTCCTGAATATTCTTCTTCACTCACATACCACTTACTTATCAGTTTTCGTATTGGATGCTCATTCTCTTTTAAAAAGCCAGTGAAGAAGCTAACCTTCTTATTTTTCTTTAGAAGAAGTTCAGTGAGATAGTAGGTATTCACAAACATATCTGAGTCTGTTTTCATCACAAAGCTGGTTTGTGGGCAGAATTTGTGAATCCATTCAAGGCCCATAATAGTCTTTAATGTTAAATTGTAGTAGGAATCTAGAAAATCCTTCTGGATAATGTCTCTGTGTTTTTTGTTCTCATCATCAATAGCACGCTGGTCAACATCAGTGAGAGTACTTCCCAGGAGAAAATAGGTCACAATACGTTTGTTGTCTATTTTTCTTTCTCTGCCCCATGTCTTACGGATAGCCATCCGGGCTTTGGATTGTTTGTGAGATGATGTCACAAGAATGACCAGGAATGGTGGATTCCGTCTGCAATTCATATGAGGCCTCTTTAAAAAACGTCCATCTCTCTTAAAGGGAAAGAACTCGTGCTTCGTCTCACAGAATATACAGATTTCGAAAGTGCACAGCTTGGCATATAAACAGAGAAAACAAACCAAAGCCATAGTGAAAACAAGCATCCTTGCAAGTCTCTTGGAAGCCATCTGAAAGAAAGAAAAGGAAATGCTACGTGGATATTTCTAGCAAATCAGTGTAGTGGGGAGATTACATTCCTACAGGCACGGTAAATAGGCATTCTGTATGTCAAAGAGCTGGCCTTAAATGTGACTAGCAGCTGGAACCAACCTGTAAGAATTTTAGTAAAAACCTGAACTTGAGATTTTTCTTTGGGAATAGTCTTGAAGACGTAACATTGTGCTGTGTATAGGCAGCCTTGCATGTTTCCAGTCAGTAGATGGAAGGGTTGAGAGTAACAGATTACAGGATAAAATATACTTTGTGGTTTCCCACCTAAGCTGCGCCCCTTCCTCCTGCACATTCACTCTCTTCTCCCTCTTTCTTGCACAAGGATACCACAAAGGTAGCTCCAATCATATAGTGTACAATTTGTAGTCATCCTTGTGAATATGTAGAAGCTGTAAGCAAACAGCCTGCTTTGCTTTATTTCTGTGTGTTATTTTTTCCCCTTAAAGCAATGCTAGTGATGTATAAATGAGACAGAATGGGTAGTGAAGCTGAGGAACTCCAGGCAGCTCCAGCTTCCAAGCTTTATAAACTGATATCCCAACCCATTTTGTTTTTTAAAACCTATCATGTTGGGCTCAGCTAACTCCCTGGGCTTACACCACCACAGGTGCACCTTGCTTCCTGAGCTCTGAGGAGAGAATCACACTATCCATGGGTGCTCTTTTCTCTCTGGGCTCTGAATTCCACATCCCCTGCCTGTGTCGGCTCAAGCGCCTTTCAGAGCCATTGATAATGCAGGGATGTCTTCTCCTGCTTGGACAAGAAAATTGTAGCCACGGTGTCCACAGTCCATTTTAAACTTTCTCAAAAACTGTTCTCTCTTTTAAAATCATTTCTCTTTCCACCCTACGTCCCCCTGAAGAGGGATAGAAATAGGAAAACTGAATAGTCTGCTGGGTGCAATCCCCTCGCCCAGCTGCTAATACGTATAAAATATGACAGCTCCTTTGAAGTGCCCCCTGTCAGAGCTAGGTAGGAAGGAACAGAAAGGGAAGGACTGTTATCTTAGTCTCGTGAACACTTGTTCAAATCTGATTGGTCAAATCTAGTGGAGCGAGCAGAAGATCCATGGATCTCCTCTTCCACTTCAGGAAAAAGGAAATCTGCCTCCCTGTTCTCCTGGTGTTAAAGGCTCTTTGCATCCCAATGCAATTTCCCCTTATTTTTGCATAGGAAGTTGAAAATGTCAGAGAAGCCCCACTTGGGGGGAGGGGGCAGATGAAAAGCTACTGCTTCCTGTTTCATATGATAAATTTACATAGGGAATATTTCATGCAAATAGCTTCTCACCTGAAAATAAGCAACTTGTGACTTTATTGCCTCAAACAGTTGGAGGCAATAAAACCCAGCAATGTTTCTGAATGCTATGGGGAGAGTGAAATTAGCTTGATCCAGCAAGCTCTTCTTATGTTTTTATATTGATGGCACTGTTGTTTTTCTTCTTTCTTTAAACACAGCTGTCACTATCTGGTTCTAAATATTCCCTTAGTCATCTACTGAACAAAGTACTAGTTTATTTTATTCATATACTGCCTGGTTGTAAACAGAGCCTCTAAGCAATTCACAAAAACTAAAAACTGGAGTCCAGATAATCCTCCCCTGCGTGTGTTTGCAGATTTACCTTACCTTTAATGAATGCTTGAATTTCCTGAGGAGAAAGAAAGTTTTGGCTCCAAGACAGCAACTGATAAAATCTAGAACAAGAAAAGTGTTGGTGAACTCCAAATGCAATTCTATTGCCATAAGCTAAATGAACACGTATCTCCTTAAATGTGTTGATAAACATTTCCAACAAGCAAACTTGAAAATGGGCACACATTCCCTTTACATTCTTCTTGGTCTTAACATTCCCTGCCCCCCAAAGGCAAGGCTACTTTATTTTTATATTTTTATTTGTCATTTATTTCTTCTTCTAATAATTATAGTTTCTAACGTCAGCTTCCTTCATTATCACTATTATTATCAATAATAATTACTATTATTACTACTATTATTATTTCCAGGGTGGCAAACACATTAACAACAATATCACTAATTATTTTCTAAAAGCATTTAAAAAAACACGTCTAACAACAGTTTAAAAGAAAACATTCTACCAGCCGATAATTTCAGGGTTGCCAGGATCAGGACTGCTCAACATTCCTATGCCTGGGCAAACAGAAATGTTTCCAAATTCCCTCAGAAAGTCAGTTATGCGGGATGAAGTGATTGACAGCACTAAATATTTCCACATTTATCCTGTTCCTCAAAATTGTAAAATAAACCTGTTTTTGAGAAAAGTCCAGGGCCTGTCACAATCTTTTAAAGGCAAAACTCATTTTGGCAGGGGCTGAACATCTCCCCTTCCCAACTGGAAAATACTCCTTACATGTCCCATCAGCAGGGCGGCCATATTGCCAAGCAGGCTGGGCTTCCCTGGATTCAGTCCTCCCCACCCAACCAGGGCCCATTTCTACCATTAGCAAGATCAAATGCCCACCTGGGGTGGTGTGTGTATTTATGTATGTATGTATGTATGTATGTATGTATGTATGTATTTTTAAAAAAAATATCAGAAGCTGATCTGTGAGATATAAGTGCCTGGTCCTTCTGTGAGAAACTCCTGGTAGCACTTTTCAAGGCTTTGCCACAGCTGTGTTTGGCATTGGGAGGGGAGAAGTGTACAAGTCATAGAGATTACAAATAATAAAAGTGATGCGTTTGTTGTCTCCAGAAGGGGCTTGCTGGTTCATTTCTATTTTATTTTTATTTATTTTTTGGGACTTCCCTTGTGAGAGAAAGATTGCTACCCTTAGGAAACAACATAGAAATGCATAATTTTTAGCATAGCTGCAATTGGGCAGTAGAATTGCCCCCCCCCCCAGGTAACAGTAAGGGAAACAGTAAGGAAGTTTGTGCTTTCCCTCCCCCAGGTCTTATTTTTCATACAATGAATATTGGTCTTATTATTTTCATATATTTGTTGCCCGAGGCCCAGGGCAAATGTACCCAGCTGCCCCCTGCCCAGGCCTGCTTTTGCAATCAACTATACAGGCCTCACCACCACCACTTTCTGCATTTCCCTTTTTCAAAAAAACGTTAGCAAGCATATGTACTTAAAGACTCAGGATTGTTAAGGAGCTCTCGATGCTGCGATAGTGGTTGTTATTAAAACTACTACACTCCATTTTGTCATGTTTTGCCAATGGCTGGTTTGTCTTCCAGTAAAAAAAAAAATAGCCCTCATGGCCTAAATAAAGCTTCTTTATTTATTAATTAAATTTCTATCCAGCTCTTCCTCTCAAAGGAGCCCAATGCAGCCTCCTGCTCCGCACAGCTGTGTGCAACCCCAGACGTAATGCGCTTTTGCTCCACCACAGCACCACTGGCACAACCGTACTAAGCCAACCCTGAAACTGAGCAGGGTCTCACCTCTACCCTTTCCCGTCATCTCCGCCATTTCCTGTCTCTAGGGTGAGAATCAGCTTTATTTCTCTCACAGCAACAGGCTTAATGGCAGAATATGACCTGTACGACCCCCAACCTGCTTTCCTAGGGGCAAATGTGCATGGCGCTTACTAATGGTCAAGCTCTGCTTCCCCCTGCCCCAAATCAGCAGATCTTGCCTTTGCCACTGCCTCTGTTTCACAGGAACACAAGCGTGCAACCTTGTGTTTGGCACGGGCTTCCGTTGCTTTGAATGAGAATGCAGGCTAGAATTGAGGAAGGTAGTAAAGAATTCATCTGCCTTAGAAAAGGCAGGAAATACTTTAGAGGAAACCGCAGCCTTTGCAACTGAGTGGAAAGCGACAGTACTTCACAGTGCAGTCCTAAACATGTTTTCTCAGAAGCAAGGACCACTGTGTTCTGTGGGCTTACTCTCAGGAAAGAAATGCAGCCGTAAACTTCTTACAATATATAAAATTGCCTTGAATTTTTAATTAGTCTTTTGAGAGTCCAACTATATGTTACGTGCAAAAGTACCCAAAAGCCACTCTGACGGGCTGGGCTTGGAGTGAGAAGTCAGCAGGAAGCAGTTGCTTAGTTCTTTCACAACCTACCTTTTGCCTTTGTAGATGTGTTTGTAATATGGCTTCCTTTCGTGGGGGAAAAATTGCGCAGCTTCTTAAGTTTAATGTTTGCAATGGGCCGTGTTTGTGCATGAGGTGTGCATGTGTTTCCAGCCCTGTGGAAGTTTTCCTATGCTTACAGGCACATTGGTGTTGGAGAGGTAAGGGTGCAAAGTGCACCTTTGAACATATATACGGAGGGATTGTTGTCTGGTTAGGCATTTCTGGGGATTTAGCAAGGTATTAAGGAGATTAGGAGTTCTGAGTTACATTTAAATCTAGTAACAATGGTTTGGGGCTATGCAAACTGCGTGGTTAGGAAGGGCTGTCTTGTGTGGTCTCTCACATGCTGCTAGCAGCAGAGGTCTTGATAGGGAAGATGTGGAAAAATAAAATAATGGATATAATATTAGTGAACAAAATTATGAGATGTAAGCAATTAAGGGAAGGAAGGAAACAATCAATCAGCATAGATCTTTAGACTACACTGAACACCATTCATTTTTACCCAAGGATTGTACATTGTGTATTTCTGACAGCCTAAGAAAATTGAGGGTCAGTTTAAAATAGGAGGGAAGCTGGTGCACTTGGACACTCATGTGGTGCAATGGTTCAGTGTGTCTAGGAGTTAACCAGAAGATTGGTGGTTTGAGCCCACCCAGGGATGGCTGTGGGAAGGATTCTTGCATTGCAGGGTGTTGGACTAGGTGACCCTTGGGACCCCTTCCATCTCTATGATTCTAAGATGCACACAGGATCAAAATTATAATTCTTTTATTAGATCCATGGCACAGAAAATACTAAGATACCTTGCCTGGCAAAGAGGAACAATTAGAGTGTATGCAAATATAAACTTTTCTTTTCTTGCTCTCACTGGTAGCATGCAGAAAGAAGACAGGGTTCCCTATAAACATAAGAAACCCTCCACATGGCAGAGAGGGAGAGGAGGGGTAAATGTAACTGACTGACTTACCCAGGGGATCATGTAGAAAAGCTACCACTAAGCCTGAAGGAGTCTTGCAGGTTCTGGGTCTGAAATGAGAGACTTGATGGCAGGGTCGTCCTAGTGGTTTTCAAAGGGGGAGGAGAAATCTAGAAATACAACAAAGCAAAATTACTTTTATAACCTCACAACTGAATTTTCTGGAGAACCGTTTTTAAGAGCCAATGCTCAACTAACTGAACAATCTCTAAATTTGATAATGTCAGATAATTTCATTGTTAGCTATATCCCAAATCTTTACCAACCAGACATAAACAGGCAGAATATCTGCTTCTAGGACTTGGCATCAGCAGACCCCGAATTGGCACTCTTCCTTTCACAGCTGCAACTACTGTAAAAGACTGTCTTCTTTTACCAAGTTTACCAGCAGTTTGGTCTATGGCAATACAGGTTTCTGCAAAGCCCTAGTAAAAATTTAATTCCCTCACCCCCAATCTCAAAACCACACTTTTTCTGTCGTCTACACAATTGTAACTTATTTCATTTTAGAGAGACCCCTGGAGACATTTCTGTCAATCTTTCATTCCCTGGCTGATAAGCTCTCTGTACTGTTAGACAATCCAAATCCTATGCTATGGATATCCCTCTCATCCATCTCTAGGCAGAGGACTCAAGTAAAAAATTAGCATTTTACAAGTGATAGCTCAACAGTTTCACAGGATCCCTACTCCCTCCTGTTATCATGAAGACAGCCACGATACAGTAGCTAGCATATAGCCATAGTACAACATGAGTAGCTATGCCTCAGGGTAGACCTCCTGGCCTGGTAGACCTATCTGAATCAGGTATGTGCTCCGAGCATACTCAGAACTGTTTCCTTGAAGTCCACACTTCACAGCTTGTAGCATATTCTGGTAACCTGGAAGGAAGCAAGGGTGTATTTGCTACTTTGAGAAACTTCGCTCTTCCTGTTTAGCACTTGTGACCTTGCGTGTGAGAGAACCACGATGGTGGATACTGTTAGAATTCCTGCTTCATGATTGCAGTCATGGGCTTTTTGTCTTTCACGTGACAGTATATGTTTTGACTCCACAGAGTGGGAAGTGACGAAGACAGGATGTTTGTGTTACTGTGCTCCATGAAGTGGGACTATTGTCCTTTGTTCTTTTTCTCTTTGCTGTCTGATGCTAGAGAGAGAGGGAGCCATGTTGCAGTGCTCCGTGTGTGTTTATATGTCAATAAAGTAGATTAGCCAAAATGCTGAGTTGCTGAGGTCTGTTACACAACTACACCTACTCTGCAGATCCCTAAGTGTGCCGGTGTCGGTTGGCATCGGTCGCTGTGATGTTCAGGCTGAAGAAAGCTTTTGAAGCTCCTGGACGATTGACCAGGAGGAAGAGAACATGCCAGTCGGGCATGTGCCTCTACCAGGGTCCTACTCAAGTGTAGGCTGAACTCCTGACAGATACATCTGGTTCACAGGCACTATGAAAGCAGGATGCTGGACTTGATGGTCCACTGGCCTGATCCAGCCAGCTCTTCTGGTTTCCTTATGATGCGTAACTATATGTTAGACAATATGTTAGCTCCATATCAGAACTCTGAAGTGCAGGTTTCGTTTTTACACAAATGGACAGTGTAGTGGGGGAGAGGTGGTCCAGACTGGGACCTAACATGGAGGATAGACAGCTTTAAACTTTGCCTTTCCTGTGGTCCCAGTTCAGATAGGGGTGGGGGCTGCACCAGCTATTTATATAAGAAAAAATATCCTATGTGCTTCAATTGGAACTTTTATTCTTATTCACATTGCTGACATGATGAGAAGCCCATTCTGAGTCTTAACCATAGCCAGATGCAATGAGTTAAAGACCCCTACCTCAAATGCCAGGGTCCCAATTGCGATCAGGAGTTCCACGCTGGCAATTTGTGCAATAAAACTCAAACCCTGTACTTAGGGGCACAGATATGGAGCTAACATGTTGTTTGATAGGAAGACTGAACAGGTTCATGGGTCACCTGGGCACCGTCTTCCCTGCTATGGTGAGATGTCTTGTATAACTGTTTAAATTATAGTACCGTATTTTTCCCTCTATAACACGCAGATTTTTTCTCCTAAAAAGGAAGGGGAAATGTCTGTGCGTGTTATAGAGCGAATGTGTGGTCCCTGGAGCCAAAAAATCAAGCAAAAGTCAAATCGCGAGTCACGGAGAAGGGAAACCTGAAAAGAGGAAGTGGCAGCTTTCCTGCATTCTGCCTCAGGGTCTTACTGCCCACCCTTCTCTGTTTCGTTGCTGTGTTTGCTCAAACGGAACAAAGAGCAGGGAAAGCCCCTCCCCTCCAGGCAAGCAGAGTGTCGTTCTTTCTAATTCCTCTCTGTGCTCCGGTGCTGCTGGGGGAGAGGGAGAGAGAGTGGGGGAGGGAGAGGGAGAGGGAGAGAGAGGGGGGGAGGGAGAGAGAGGGGGGAGGGAGGGAGGGAGAGAGAGAGAGAGAGAGAGAGAGAGAGAGAGAGAGAGAGAGAGAGATGGCTGGCTTGGGGGGGGGGAACTTTTGCCTTTCTTTCCTCCCACCCGTTATGCCTCTCCAGCATTCTTAGCCAGCTGCTTCTCTGCACACCCCTCTCATGTCCCTTCTTTGTTTTTCCTTCGCTCCCCACTTAAAATGTGGTTACAAAGCATAGATCAACATGGATCCTCAGGATCTTTGCATTGGGTCACCCCAAATTCACCATCAGATCACATAGCATGTCCATGGCTACAGCCTGCACCAAAAAAATCACGCACCCACTGTTGCCTGGGGCTGCAATGGTGCAAAAACGTGGTTAAAAAGCATGGATCCACATGGATCCTCAGGATCTTTGCATTGGGTCACCCCAAATTCACCATCAGATCACATAGCATGTCCATGGCTACAGCCTGCACCAAAAAAATCACGCACCCACTGTTGCCTGGGGCTGCAATGGTGCAAAAACGTGGTTAAAAAGCATGGATCCACATGGATCCTCAGGATCTTTGCATTGGGTCACCCCAAATTCACCATCAGATCACATAGCATGTCCATGGCTACAGCCTGCACCCAAAAAATCACGCACCCACTGTTGCCTGGGGCCACAATGGTGCAAAAACGTGGTTACAAAGCATGGATCCACAGGAATTCTCAGGATTTTTGCATTGGGTCACCCCAAATTCACCATCAGATCACATGTCTGTGGCCACAGCATGAAGCACAAAAATGATACATCCACTGTTTCATTCAGAATGTTTTTTCCCTTGTTTTCCTCCTCTAAAAACAATGTGCGTGTTATGGTCAGGTGCGTGTTATAGAGCGAAAAATACGGTAATTCATAGAATCTCGTATTGTCTGGTTTGGTCTGGAGAGAGAGAACTTGCATTGCCTTTCCTGACAATCTTTTAGAACATAAAACTGCAGGGATTTTCCATAAGGTTCTTCCCTCTGTCTATAGGAACTTGGAAGAGATGTTTGATTTCAGCATAATCAAGCCACTTTGTACATCCCTGTGGAACTAATCTCTACATATCTGGAAATAAATTGGAAGCATCCACACGTGGACAAAGTCTGCTTTGCTATGGAGAGCCTTTTTTTTTAACCATGCCAAGCACTCCCCTAGATTGGTCATACAAAGGAATTCTGGCACACTAAACAGCATGTTTCACTCATGATTAGATTTGCTACTTGGCATGTATGTGATCACATGTCGAAGATGTATGTTATAGATATTATTAAGGAAAATAAACACATTTTCAAATTGGGGCTCACTTGGATCAGGGTGAATGTAGATGTGTATGAAAAGGGTTGTTTAAGAGGTCTGCAGATTTAGATCCCGATGGGAAGGCAAGACTCTTGTGCTTTGTATAGGAAAACAGAATTGCCTGCAGGTGCTCCTTTTCTTCTCTCTACAATACTGTTCAACAAACTGCACCACTGGCCCAAATTCTCTCTTCCACACCACTGCTCGAGGCACAGGTGCTCTGTCCTCCAAGGCACGGAGCTGAACCCTAGTCTCAGACAATATGGAATATTTCATTTGAAAGAGCCAAATTATGCCATGCATCTTCTCTAGCCGGCAGAAAGAAGTCTGCAGGGTAGTCTGATTCTGCTTTCCTGATTATGGAAATCTGTTTGGAGAGCTCTCAGGAGTGAAACGATTTAGCTGAAAACCATGCACCAAAAAGAAAGAAAGGCAAGATTTTTTTTGAGTTTCCTTACCTCCTTCTGCAATACATCTCTCTGTTTCTCTAGCCATGTTGCCTGAAAGCTCCAGCGAGTTGTTAAATCTTCCAAGTAAACGGTTTGTGTCTCCTTCCCGTTCCTATTTGATAAATGACAATCTCCATGTGTTTACTGGACTGGGAGGGGCAAACACAGCATTTGTGCAGTAAAGGGAATCCAAGCAGTAGATTTCTCTTTCTTTCTCTCCCTCCAGGTAGCAGGCAGGACGGCCACCGCAGTCTGATCGTCAGCAAAAGCCAAGTTAGGAACTGTCTGCAAATGCTCTCTCTTTGTACTCAAGGAAAAAAAATCAAAACAAAGACAAGCAATTCCAGGCACACTCAGCTGTTGCTAGAGAACACGGAAATTTTAATTATTTGAGAGACCAAATCCTTATGCCTTTCCACAGGAAAAGCAACAGCCACTAGCAGAGTAAAAGAGAACTTTGCAAAAATAGCCTCCGGGGTGTGAAAATGTCCCAGGCTTCTGGCAAGGCCAGGCAGACTTCAGTTTGTGGTACCTATATTGCTTATTTCAAGAATGCCTGGCTCCACCAACAAGAGCTAGGTGGGAAATAGCAGCTCAGATTGGCAGGCACACTCACAGAAGTAAGGGAAAGTGTCTACCTATGAGAACGAGCTGTGTCCAAGAATTGATTTCAAAGCCGCCACTGAGTTTATTATTAAACCCTTTCATACAAAATTCCACTCCCACTTTCCCCGAAGCCTCCATTGTTTCAACAGCCTAATTTTCGTTTGGGACATGTTTATTCTTACTAGTTT